TCTACGCCCAGCTCGCATTGATCGAGGCTGAAGAACAGCGGCAGCTGGCAGCCGAGACGGCCCGCCTACAGGCCGAAGCTGAGGCAGCAGCAGAGAAGCTGCGACTACAGACCGAAGCAGATGCAGATGCCCAGGCTCGCCGCAAGGAAGCCTTGGATCTGTTGCAGCGGCATGAAGCCAGCAGCATCGAACCAAACGGCGACGAGGCAGATCAGGAGGAACAACACAAGGAGTTCCTCTCCAAGCTCGTGACCCGGTTGTTGTATGCGTGCAACTACCAACGGTCCGAGTTGGAGAAGCAGAACCTGGAACTACAGAACCTGCACCAGGCTCTGCAGACACAGCAACAAGAGTTGGTGACTCTCCGCCGCATGGTGCATGATCACGACAGTGCTACACGGGCACTCAACGGCCGTGTCACGGACCTGGAGCAATCTGCACCAGATCCAGACGCAGTCTCGACCAGCAGTGCACCATCAAACCACCAGCTGGAACAACGCATGGACCACGTGGTGGCAATGCTGGGTGACCTTACCACCTTCACAGCACCAGCCACCATCAGCCAGCGATTCGAGGAGCTGGATGCCAAGCTCGGGCAGCAACAGCAGCCATCCGAGCACAGCAGCAGCTCGCCGAAGCCGTACAAGATGCCAAAGTTCCAGATTGAGAGATTCGATGACTACATGCATCAGAATCCRGTAGTCTGGTGGCAAGGATTCTCGACGGAGTTGGGGATTCATCAGATCCCAAAAGACATGAACATCAGCGCTCTGTTCCTCAATGTGAAAGGAGCATGCCAGATCTGGTTGAGCCACATGGCCACAATGCACAGCGTCGACGTGGCAGAGCTATACAAGAAGATCACCTGGGAAGAAATGACAAAGGAATGGAAGAAGTGGTTCATCGTCGACGACGCGCCTGCACAGGCCGTCAACCACATCTTCACAATGGCACACGGCAGCAGTCTGACACGGGACTTGCTCACGGAATGGCAGAAGATCGTGGCAAGGATTCTCGACGGAGTTGGGGATTCATCAGATCCCCAAGGACATGTACATCACCGCTCTGTTCCTCAATGTGAAAGGAGCATGCCAGATCTGGTTGAGCCACATGGCCACAATGCACAACGTCGACGTCGCAGAGCTGTACAAGAAGATCACCTGGGARGAAATGACAAAGGAATGGAAGAAGCGGTTCATCGTCGACGACGCGCCTGCACAGGCCGTCAACCACATCTTCACAATGGCACAGGGCAGCAGTCTGACACGGGACTGGCTCACGGAATGGCAGAAGATCGTGGCGACGCCCGATCTGGATCTACCATTCACGCATCTGCGGCGTGAGTTCTTCAACAGATCCTGTGCGGCCCTCAGCCTTGCACTTGGTGAGCGCGAACAGTACACAAGCGTTGCTGAGATCATCAACAAGGCTCGCGAGATCATCAAGACCAACAGGCCAGCAGCTCACGAGAAATCGACATGGCAGCCGACCTATGTGGAGAAGGTACGAACTGGTCCGCGACAGCAGCACTTCGTTGCAGTCCAGCAGGACAGTGGAGATAACCCAGCAGCCACTTCAGCATCAAGTGACGGAGATCAGGTGGCCG